CGCGAAAGCGAACGATTGGCATGTGGGTGCAATAGGAGTTGGATGGAAGTCACGAAAGAAAGCGGCGTGCAAAAGTGATGGATTGTCCTGATGAGGAACACTGCACAAATAGGGCTGGCGCCGCTCTACCGTATGTACAGAAGTGGAAGCTGCTCCCTTCAGCAACAAATTCGGGTCACAGCGGTAGAATGGTAATGTATAACGAGAAGGAATTCCAGCCTACATGATAAACGGAACATGCAACGCCAGACAAAGTACCCAAATACAAACTTCACCACCGACATCCCCAACTCACTTCCGATACCACATCCTCGTCACCTTCGTCTTCCTCATCTTCTTCTGCAGCTGAAATATCCCATACAACAACGCCTCCGCCGTCGGCGGACACCCCGGCACATATATATCCACAGGCACAATCCTGTCCACGCCCCTCACCACACTGTAACTATAGTGATAGTATCCACCCCCGTTCGCGCAGCTCCCCATGCTAATCACCCACTTCGGATCCGGCATCTGGTCGTAGCACAGCCGCAGCGCAGGAGCCATCTTATTTGTCACTGTGCCGGCGACTATCATAACGTCTGCTTGGCGGGGCGAGGCGCGGAAGATTATGCCTAGGCGGTCTTGGTCGTAGCGTGGGGTGGAGCAGTGCATCATTTCGATGGCGCAGCAGGCGAGGCCGAAGCTGAGGGGCCAGAGGGAGGATTGGCGGGTCCAGGCGATGAGTTGGTCGGTGGTTGTTCTGTGGATGGGTTAGGAGTGTGAATCTGGAGTGGTAGACGGCGTTGAGGTCTTACAGGACGTGCTGTACGACTGAGGTGGTTGCTCGAGTGGCTAGGGAGCGATTGGGTTTGGGTTCGCTTGGTGATGAGTGGTGCCGTGGTGAGGCTGCTGTTGGGAGTGCTGTTTGATGTGATTGGGAGGTAAAAGTTGGTAATATGGAAACTCTTTGCAAGGAAACTTTCAGAAGGTATCAGTGTTGGAATAAAGAATGGTATTTCCTTTGCATACCATTTCGAAGAGTGCTCCTGAGAACGGTCGGTCTCATGGACATGATTAGGGTGAAAAAGGAAAAAATGAAATGAAGCGATTGGACGAACCGAAGAGGCAGTAGCTGTAGAAGCTGAGGTCTTCCAGGAACAATAGAAGAGAACTGTCGAACCTGTGTTTATACAGGATTAGGTGGGTACCACTGGCATTCGATCACTTTGGGTTAGTGCAGGGCACGCTACTCGGGGAAAACCCACACCCGGCAAAAGCCCACTCAGTGAAGGCGCATCGAACGGCATCGCGACGCCAGTCCGCAGCATGCCAGATACAGATTCACAACGTATTGAGCGTCGAAAGTATCGGTGTCAGATATGCGAAAAAGTCTTCAATAGCAGCAGCCATTTGCGGCGCCATGAAAGCGGTCGTCAGTAACTTTCGCATGTTCAGTGGGCAATCGATCAGATTCTCATCGCGACAGACTCTCAAAGAACATCATCTCATTGCCAATTCTGCGGTCGCGACTTTCTTCGCCAGTAAGACTCCAGAAGGATGGCCCCCAGGATGGTCGTTTGCTGTTAACGGCGTTTGCGCAGGGATGTCCTTCGGCGTCACTTCAAGACGTGTTCCAAGAAGGGAGAAGATGACCAGATCCCAGCACCGAGACGAGGAAGAAGACGACATGCATGCAATTCTTGTCATGCAAAGAAGATAAACTGCGATGGAAATCAACCTTGCGGACGGTGCTCGTTGAGCCAAGTTGACTGCTCCTATCTGCGAGTGTCTCCAGGCGCCGAAGGAAAAGCCTCAGATGGACAACCCAATGATGATGGAATTTTAGATACAGTATTCGATGGACGCTTCGCCCAAGTCCGCCGTCAATTGCCGTTCTTACTCAGCTACACGGACCCGAAATTTGAATCAATCGCGTATGCCTTTGCTGCCTCAGACGCTCACGTGGAGTCTGTCTTCCATGAAGAGCATGATCTGCCAAACCACGCTTTCGCAGAACCAACTGCCGACCTTGGTTCGAGCACGTACGGCAAAGATTGGCAGAAATCGCAGCTTGATGAAGCTGTTCTCCAGGCCCGAATCGAAGAGATCATCCAGACGCTTGCTTCCCACCACCGATCACATGCTGTTTTGCATAACACCAACACTGACACCTTTCCATTTGATATCGCCAGACAAGTCTTCGCTGCACACACTTTGCCAGGATACGTCTCGGCCTACTTCCAGTACTTCCACCCGCACTTCTCGTTCATCCACCGGCCTACATTCGATATCCACAACGCTTCTCTGCCGTTGTTACTTGCCGTTGCACTTGCGGGATCAGCAAACTCCCCACCCACAGACGATGCACTGACAGCACACTCTCTCTACGGTGTGGTCGAAGAGTACATCTTTGGATGCCTGCACGATGCGGTCACCAATCGTACTCAAGTGGACGATGAGACCATTCAAACGGTTCAAGCAGCCGGATTGATCAATGCGTTGATATACAGCTCAAACAATAAGCAAACAGCCCGGAGAGGACTGTTCAACAGATATCCCGTCCTTGTCGCCTCTATCAGATCTCTGGGGTTGATAGGGTCGAAACGGATGATACCTTTGCAGGACATGACGTGGGAGCGGTTCATCGCTCAAGAGACGAGAATCAGGTGAGGCGCTGTGACTGAGATTTAACCTAAACAAGCAGCTGAACAAGGCAGGTTCGTAGCCGCACTCTTTTACTTGGGCTGCATAAACACCATATCGTTCAACAGCGCTGTGCAGCTACCGATATCGGAGATGGTTGGAGATCTGCCCTGTCCCGACGTACTATTTGAAGCTTCGACGTCTGCCGAGTTCGCCCGACTGCTCCAAAGTTCAGATTGCGCCGCGAGACATCATCTCAGCTTGAAAGAGTGGACGTCGTTATATCTCCAAGATAGCTGGCCTGGACGTGAGGATCCTGTGCTCACTTCAGTTGAGCCCAAGCTTCTGACTATACATATTGTCGGTGCGTACCCTCTTAGCCGACCTCACGAAACCAACACCAGACGCTGGACAGCGTATGCTAGGGTGGCTCAGGCAACGATGAGTTCCCACGACAGTGCGTCACCGATGAAGGTACCATTGCTAAACAAACCTCAGCTCTCAACTCCATCATACACGCAGCACGGACAAGTCTTCTAGCCACATCGTCGTACCCAGCTCTTCTTCGTGCGACTGATCGCTGGAAAGAGCTATATGACGTTGTATATGCATATAATAGAGTAGACCGAGCGCAACTTATAGGGTATATCAAATACAGCGCCGAATTGTGGTGGCTTGCGCGGAAGCTTCTTGAACTGTCGCAGGCGGGCAAAGAAGGGGGCAGGTATCTTGCTGGTACGCCGACGGAGACACTTCGCGATTTGGGGGAATTTGTACAACGGTATGCGCAGGAATTCTGAAAGTCTAATGAACGTAGTTACTCATATACAAGTGATGTACCAACATGTCTCGTTGGGAGATGTCAATTCAGTACGTCATGCAGTCCCAGGCCGGAACGCTGCTGCTATACCAATGAGCTCTGTAGCAAGGGTGCGAGTATGTTTTTGGCCTGGTTTCCGATTTTCCTTAGAAGGCCATCGCGCTTCGAAACGAACGCTTCTTCCCTCAACTATCATCACTACCTCGTAGTGTATCGCCCAATGCTTTGTGGACCCTGAATGAACATTAATCCCAGAGGGTGACTCAGTCTCGATAAGACATTCATGCTTCAATTCGGTCAAATCGGCAATGATTGTCCCGATTTGCATTGCGCCTGTACACATTATTAAAGTTGAGCAGTACTAGATAACGAAGCCATACCTCTGTTCAGCGAATGGGTTCTGGTGTAGTGAGATGGATGAGTAGTATCCGACATCCATAGTTGCTCCGCGGCTTCAATCCGTGTTTCAGTGATTCCTTCAGTGATTGGAAAAGTGTGCTTGACATCGAAAGGAAACTCCTGCATGTTATCTACCCTGTCTCCCTGATATGAGTGGTGTTAGAGAATCATTGATCATCAAGATAAGAATACAATTTACCTTTTGGATCATCCATCGAATAGTTCCATTGACGTATCGCACGCCATCAGCTTTATTGACTCGACCTCTCAATCTCCGATGCGCCTCGAAAACCTCTGGCTCGTGTGGCTCACTACACAGAAACCCATAACTGCACTGAGATGTTCGTGCAGGTCCATGTTTCTTGTTGAGCGCCCTGAGGACCGCCCCTCTCGCCACTGCTGTGGAACTGAGAACCTTTCAGCGATAATCTTTGTATAGTTGGTAAGGAATGAAGTGACTAACGGGTTTGCTGGGACAATCAACTCCATTTCCCTACCGTTGATGTTCGTTCGCCCATTCAAAAATCTCCTCAGATGGCTTTGTAAAGAAGGGGATTGTCCAAAGCCACCAGTAAGTATGATCTTCTCAACAGTGTGATTTGCGCGTCTTGCTCGTTCTAATTGACTTTCCAGAACAGTCTCTACTTTGTCCAAAGATGGTTGATAGAAATGTTTAACGGACTTGCTGCTCGACGTTAATCTACAGGCCTAGAATGCAATGGCAATGACCCACCTTTTGAGTTGTAGCCGGTTCTGGTAGAAATATTTACGTGGGTTCTCTCTCAGATTATCGATCTGAATCGGCCGTATTGAAGCATTTAGGCTGTAAATATCGATAACTCTCTTCTCGTTATCCTCGAAGACTGTAGCACACTTCTGCACGATGCTTTTGATTGTCTTTCCGTTCCCGACTAGATAGTGCTCCCGCTCGAGCTTTTTCTCAAGCTTGTCTTCAAAAGCCTTATTGATGAAACTTGCGCCGAATAACTCGCCTGGGCCAATAAGCCTCCAATATCAAAGTGGGGCCAGTATTGTCGTGCTTTACTTACTGTCAGGGGCCACTACCTCCTCGGATAGTCGCAAAGGCTCATCATTGGCGCACTTGTAGGTCACCGCATCAATGGTACCTCCTCCAGCGTCAACAATTACTACCGTCTCATCGCGCTATGCTTGAGGTTAACACTTTAAGTGATGGTTGTACGTAGGTGCCACGTACATAAAGATCACTTCTGGCCTCGGCTAGAATGCATTCAGCAGCGGCCTCAGGTTCGGAGATCATGAACAAATTCCGGGAAGCTTCTTGCGCCTTACTGTTGAAGCCGGCTCTTTGTACAGCTTGCTCAACTGCACTCTGCATGGTCCGACAAGCTTTCACAGGCCATTTGGCGGGCACACACAAAACAAATTGAACGACCATGTTCTCGCAAAGCTCCTTCGACTCTTGCAGTTGTTCTTTAGCGTGCCTGAGCAGGTGGGTGAGATAGTCTGCATAGATATCCGAGTCGTCTTTGATCACCTCTCTTTCACGCAAGGTGGATAGAATCGTGTCAATATCAGCTCGAAGCTTCTCGGTATCTTCCGTATTGTCGAGTTTAAGCTTGAATCTTCTCAGGGGACTTACATCGTCCCTCGGGATGTTCATCAGGTTGAGATGTTGTTGTACATTGAATCCCCAATACTGTGGGACTTTGGGTTTGCGAGGCTTTATGTGAGGCGCAGCTCTAATTGCTCTCAGGCCATTGTCGTCTTCAGGGCCTGATGAGTCGCCGTGTGGGCCATCATCGTCACTACTCGACGAGTCTTCATCGTTGCTGGGAAGGTCTGGGCTCGGAACTTCTGAGCTCGGAAGCGGTTGATCTTCAATATTGTACCACAACTCGGTTGGAACATCTTGCCTGGTATCCAGCGTGCCGTCCAACTTCTGGTAGCCCGGATATTTACCGATGCATTTTAATTTTCGTACGTGAATATTTTTGGGTGCAACACCCTTTGGTAACACGGCATATGCGACAGTAGAGAACGTTGTGCCGAAGTCGATGGCGATAATGATGCGATCTTTCTCGATGTTGCTCACGGGATCGTGCTCCATGACGTCCCGCTCTTCAACATCTTGCTCGTCGTTATCTTCGATGGTCATCTCAACATCGGTATATTGGTGTTGCTCTTCAAATTCGGGTGTTGGACCAGGGTCAAAGTGGTCGTACAAAGTACGAGAGCTCCTTGTAGTTGGAGCCATATTCATGTGGCGGCTATGTACTCAATAACCCACGATCAAGCAGAGAAATGATGGCTCGCTTTGGAAGCACGGTTTTGTATGATCATGATGTGAGCGGCATTTCGTCCAAATAATGTATGTGATGAAGGATAGATGAAAATGGTGAGCGAATAGCAACCCGGCGCCTACGTGTACCGTGCATGCAGGGGCGCGGCACAGTCGATAATGCATAGGCATGTTTGAGAAACACAGCCTCGCCAGCCCCATCGCCTACATGGCCAGCGCTATGACAACCAATCGCCCTACTCCATGTAGACTTACTTTCAGCTTTAATTTTTATTGAAACAGCTTCCTTGCTCAATGCGCTGCTGCCTAGGACCAAGCTGTGTGGGCCACTCAGACCGCCGGCTGCCCGCTGTGTTCGTGGCGTCCGTTGTACCATCTATGAAGCTCCTTTCCTCTTTTCCCGCTCACTTTCTCGGAGGTGTGCCCCCAGATCAACCCTCTACCAACATTTACGTAGTCAATTTTTTTTAGTAAATTACCTCACAAACATTCGTTACATACAATTCGCAATGGATCATACAGAACTTCCAGAACCGCTCGAATTCCTGGCGCAGCTGGACTTTGTGGTCGAAGGCCCGAAGACTTGGTCACTACAAGACGCGAACCTCGACGAGAAAATAAACAGAATTCTTGATAGGGTATGCGAGAACCTCTGTCATCGGTACAGTGTTCGCTACGTCAAAGACCGGTTGTGGCAGGAGTTTCGACCTTCGTACACCTTCGCTGAATACAATTTTCCGAAATTGTTTCTTCATGGAAGTTACGAGATGCTGGCCCTGGACTTGGATCAGAGACAGCTTGTGAGGGACCGTGTCGGAGAAATTCGCTTGCAACGAGCTATTAGTCAAGAGGAGCGAGGTTGTCGGTCCCGGTCCATCCTCAATGCATCGATGACCATAACAAGTAGAAGCCGCAGAAAGACTCCAACACTCGCGTCGCCACTTCTAAGACCCAGAGAGAAAAAGGACCGTCGTGCGAGTAGCCAAAGACATGCGCATTGCGATGACAAAGCGCGATCAAAGGTATAACGTCGGGCCCACTCTCTCAAACCTGTCGGGTTGACTTAATATTAGCTCGCATCTCGTACCAAATCGGCTTCTCGAAAACGGACTAAACACCCTGTGGTTGCTGCCTCACGAAACGAATTCGACGAGAAACGATCCCATCAATTGTCAACCTCAGGCTCGCAACACCCAAAAGACGTTGCTACTGCAGCCCACTCTTCAGATGACATGTCAGCTCAGCGGTCGAAACAAATAATGTACGATCACGTTGAAGATCACAATAATCTTGCGAGTTTTGAAAGGCACAGAACGACACCTAGGTTTCCTTTTAGCGCAGATACATTGGTTGAAGACCACAAGGCTACGGTCTTTGCGCTTGGGCAGTACAAAAGTCGCTGTCAAAAGCTTGAAAAAGAACGTGCCAATCTGAAAACCGAGTTGCGTAGGACCGCGAGCATGTTCGCGCAAGCGAAAGGTGTAGGGGAGGTGCTGAGGCAATTACGTTCTCAAACGAGAGACATCGTCGAATTGAAGAGTCGACTGCAGGACCAAGACTATCTCGAGCCTTATCTGGCCCTTGGTCAGGCTCACGACACTGCGCTAACCACTGAAAAGCTTCACTTGGACTTCCAGATCATGAAGAACGAGCTTGGCTCCTTGCCAGTCCTCGACGCCGCAAGAAAAATACCAGTAGAGCCACTTTATGGACAGTCCGATGATCTAGATACCCTTTTACACTCCATCTTCCATTCAAACACTGGAAGTAATGCTGAGAGCGTCTCGAGAGAGGGCTCCGCGTTTGCCCTCCGAGAAGTCTTTCAGGCGCTCACTGGAGCTGCGGTCAAGGTTTGGGTCTTTGAAAGCACGCTCGGATCGACGTCTATGATGACTACGCCACTTTTACAAAAGTATCGCGAGCACATCGCTACCTTGTGTATGTACTATCCGAATGAATTTGTTTTTGTTGCACAAGCTAACGAGCCACAGGCGGGCATGAAGGTCTCTGCAATCTAGACTTCGCTGCTCACGATACAATCATTCAAGGAAAGGACTTCGAGGAAGATACTATTGCGCCTATGACTTCTCGGCTCACAAAGCGCTTGTTGAATGTGCTTCGACTTGTCATTAGGCATCAGGATCCGCACGATACGCTCAAAAGATTGGGACCGCGGCTTGCGTGCATCATGAAACCAGCGATACGTTTCCGCGCACTTTCTTTAGTGAGCGCTAAACGGCTTGAATCGATTTGGCCTTCGCCTGGAACCTCGTTTGAGGAGCTGGAGATGTCAGTAGAACCTCCTTTGGAAGCGATGACAGGAGATCTAGTCAGATTGCCGATTCTTCCAGGTCTACGCGCTTATCGCATCGAAAAAAAGATGATTGCATATCGCGGCTTCGGAGATCGAAAAATGGCGAGCGGGCATCCGGACCACACGATCAAAGCGATGGTAATTGTTTGAAAATCTGGAGTGATAGATAGCCCCTATGCGCTGCGGTAAAACTGTTCGTATGTAACTACTGTGCCGTCAATATTGAAGCCCCATGTCCACTGTCGAGTTCGCCCGTTAGGTCTACTCGAGATGACTTTTCTGACTTTTCGGTTGGTTAGAAAAGACTGACTGGCTGGTGCGGCTCGTAAAGTGGCTGAGAACATCGAACGAACGCCAGCTAGGTCTACTGATCATCTCTCACCAATGAATGGCAGCCACACAATTCCATTCGCTCCCGATCGACCGTCGTGTGACCTCTATGCAAGGGAGCCAGGGATGCAGATATAGTGAGATGGAGCGTAGCGGCTATCAAACCGTCGCGAGCTCGTCTTGTCATGCACCATAACTGTGCCACATGCAGGGGCCACTGGGATTACGGCGCACCCATGTCTGCTATCCTTGTATCTCGGATTGGCCCCCAAGCAACTACCGACGGGCGATCGTATAAGTCGCTGAGAACAGCTAAAAGCAACAAGCGCTTGAAATCACATCATTTACGCGCAGTCATTGACGATGCCACCGAGAAAGCAGGAGCTTTCTAAACAGGAGTTGCATTCGTTAATCCGCCAACACCGTATTCTATTCAAAGGCCCGGCGCCACCTAAAGACTGGCCTGGACAGTACAAACACCATTTTCTCGTCATTCGAGACATCGCTGCTATCCGATATGACGATTACAAAGTAGATCGAACAGTCTCGAGGGAGCGGATGAGCTTTTTCAAGGAGCGAATTGCCATGCTCAGACAACGAGCAGACCGCTTCCTCGACAGCGTAAACCTGAATGAATCCACATGGAGAGAGCTCGAGTATCCTATTCTGGGGAGGTTTAACAAGCGTGTCATCTGGTAGGTCATAGGTGTTGCGAACCCAGTATCGTAAATTAACTAAGCGACGAAGTGGGAACTGCTACAATGAGTTGTGGAAGGCCGATTTCGAGGCCGACAGCTTCCATCCAGAGGTTCAAGCCGAGCTTGCAGCGAAACGAATCCAAAGAAAAATGTGCTGTTGCAGGAATAGGAAGATCCACAGGAGGACGGAAAATACGTACTTATGCCCTCAGCTCGCATTGTAGTCAGATGCTAACCAAAAAGCGACGAGGAGGATGGCGAAATATTCGACTTCGCAAAAGAGGAATTTGTCACTCACGTACCTGGCGAGAGCCTTCAGCACCTCAGCATCCCTATGAAACCAGATCGTGTCATAGGACTTGGTGTTCCATCGCGGCTACCAGAGCATGACTCCTACTTTCCAGTGGCCGGCAGACGAATCCTCCTACCGTTTCTAGTCGTAGAAGCGAAGAAGGAACACAGCGTCCCGGGTTTTAGATCTATTCAACACCAAACTGCATTTCCCATCAGGCGCTTCTTAAAAGCCCAACATCAACTATTCGATGGCGAACAGTACTGTGAACCTTACCTGGTTTGGTTCTTCGCGTACCAGGGTGAATCATGGCGATTGTATGGCTGCATCTTTGATAAGGGAAGGACTGTAAGTCTAATTCCAATAAGAAGGAAGTCAATGCATCAATTGAGACATTTTAGGAATTGTACGAACTATGGCAGGGAACTATACAGTCCCAGGATGGCGCTCTGCAATTACTACTTATCATAGATTACATCTGGTCCTGGGCAAGGGACATTTACCGGCCCTCTGTCAGAAAATCCCTTGTCGAATCCATGGAAAGCTTTCGAGATCTGTCACCAGCGTCCACTGATCGATTCCGTCAGTCAGTCTCGTTGTCCACCGCACCGAGCCCCGACCTTGACACTCATGACTCCGATCCGATGCAACTTGATGCAGTCATCTCAGAAGAACCATGTCAGCGTATTGATACTGATCGCGAAGTGATTGTCGGGGAAGAGATGAGGTTTCCCCAAGAGGAAAGCTGTCATTCATCAGTGAAGCCGGCTACGGTTCCTGAACTTGCGCCTTCTTATACTCAATTCGGAAGCATTTGCTACTCGAACATTGTACAGTTTGAGTTTCGATTTATCAGCATTTTTCAAACATCGTATGTTCCCCAATACCTAACAATCACCGAGGGCCACTCGATTCTGAAGCTTTTACGTTCATTCGCTATCGAAATATCCAAGATTCAATTACGACACCTTGCCAAGCTCTGGACGACCAAATATCCACAGCTCCCCCCACTTGGCCCTCGTGTTACTATAACACTGTTTCTTCAAACCTACCTAGACCCGGCGAATTGGCAGATAAAGAGGGTTTTGAACTGTATCTGTTGGACATCATTTGGTTTGGGCATCTGCCATGATCCAACGGCATTCGACTCACGCAATAGCAACCCTCCGTACTGCGAACTTAGTGATATCAAGGCCGCTATTCTGGAAAGCCAAGAAATCCATGGCAGGGACTCGGCGTGGTATGCTTTGGGTGATATCGGCTTAGTTTTGCTCCCGAAGACACGGCAATGCAGTTCTAGATGGATCTCGTTCGAAGAAGCGAATTTCCCCGACGATGCTTCAAAGTTTCTCACTGATCTTAAAGGATCTGAGGTCACAGAAGGATTTGTGATAGTGGGGGGGATATTCATTACGAGGAGCCTGTTACAGATTAACTCACCTTTTGAGGTGCGACAGAACTCAACGTTGCCAGATCTAAGAGAAGGTTTGCCGCAAGGAAGGTCCATACTGGTCATTCGACCGCCGCTATGGCCAGTGGACTGTCCCAAATTCTGTCTGTTCATTCTCATTGATGAGATACCAGTTGATAAGAGAATCATCTACGAGCTGT